GGAACATGCATTTGTCTGACATTTGCTCCGGGCTGCACCTTACACGTGTGATCCTGATCACCCTCCGTGGGTGACTACAGCCATTTCCCAGATGCCCCATGAGGCCTCAGAGAAGGGAAAGGATTTGCCCCTCAGACTCTAGGTGCCTCCAGGTGTGATGCAAGGAGCAAACTTAGACTCCAGTTTGAATCCTAGGGAGGGAGGCCACTCACTTCCCTTCTCTGAACCTCTTTCCTCATCTAGAGAATGGGAAACATGGTCACTGCCTCTCAGGTGGTTGGGAGAATGAAATGGGCTCATTCTGTCATTCAACAAACATGTGTTGACAGTCTCTGTGCCAGCCCCTACTCTAGTTTCTAGGGACACTGCAGTGAACAAGATGGGCAAAGGTCTTGCTCCCAAGGGGCCAGATTCTTCTGGATAATGCCTGTCAGGTGCTCTGCAGGGGCTGACAGTAAGTGCTCCATACAACTTACGGGGATAAAGACCCAGGATTGAATGGGATGGTGTGCAGAATGGGCTTGGCCTGGAAGAGCAGCACGCATCAGCACTAGTTGTCTGCCCTGTCAGTGTGGCACCGCCCCCCGGCCCAGGAGAACACCAGGTCCTTGGGCACCTGGCAGTCACCGGTCTAAGCTGCCTGCCCAAAGCCAGCAGAACTCTCTGCCCCAGGCAGGCACTATGGAGGCAGCTCAAGGAGGCTTGGGTCTCATCAGGAGGGCCCTCCCCTGCAGCACTGTCCCCCTCTGCCACATGGCCTCAGCTCAGCCCCACCCACTCCCTGACACTGTCCCTGGGCCAGGCCTGAGCCTTCTCTGGAGGCTCTCCCAGCTGTCCTGATGTCCCCTCTGGCTTCTGCAGACGCTCCCCATTTCCACCCCTGGAGGCCTCGTCTGGGCACCAGCCCCTCCCCTCCAGAGGCGTCCCCAGACATCACTCCTGTGCTATTCTCTTTTCCTGACAACTGTGGCATCAAATGTCAACCAGGCTCTGCTCGGCACCAGGAGGTGGGGGCAGGGGGCTGGTTCTTGATAATAACTGTGTGGTTCAGGGGAGGGTCCTCCTCAGCCCCCCGCGAGGGGCTAGGAATGGCTGGCCCTGGGCTGGCTCTGCTCCCAGATCACTGTGCCGCCTCGAGCAAACCTCTTCCTCCTCAGACCTTGGATCGTCTGAGCCACGAAGGGGAGGCAGCCTTCTCTGCCTTCCCCTGGCGGTGTGAGAATAAGGGGACGCAGGCAATACCCTTTGGGGGCTTGGAGAATGCTGGGCCAGTGGCAGTGGACTTCTCCCGAGAGCCACCTTCCTTCTAGGTGAGCTGTGGAAGAGGTTCTGGGGGGTGCAGAGTAGCTACGCCCATCAGACCTCAGAGGAGCCTGTCCTCCTGTCCTCACTTGCCCTGAGTGAGCCGGGACAGCCGGCACTAAGCACTGGGGAAGCGGGCTCTGGCGGGCCCTGACAGCTCAGCAGTGGCAGTGGCCGCTGTGGCAGAGGCTATTCTGAGAGCTGGGAAGGGCTGGGGAGCGGGGACTGGAGGAGGGGAGCAGCCAGGAGAAGACAGTCCTGTGGGGGTGAGGCGTGTGTCCCCGCAGCCGTGTCCATGTTCATAGTAGGGAGGACTGTGTAATGTGCACTGGCCACGGGGAGGGGGTGGAGCATTGAGGTCATGAGGCACGCACCGGGGTTGCTTGGGTGTCTGTGCACAAGTTTTGGGATCCAAGTACGAGTTGAATGGGTAAAACATGCATCTGGAAGTGTAAGAGCAAGCGAGTGTGCATGCATTGGAATGTGAGCGTGTTTGAGTGCATGGGAAGGTGGGAGCAGAAGCAAACGATCCCGGGTGTGGAAGGGGGAAGAGCGCAAGGGTAAGCAAGTGGGGGCTTGTTTGTGAGCAGGAACGAATGTGGGAGTGGTAAGAAGGGTATATGGGAGAGCAAGCGTGGGTGAAGGGAGTGGAGTGTGAGAGGCCTGGGGCCAAGGGAACCCTCAGGAGGGTTTGGGGACACAAGTGAAAGGACGTATGCAGGTGTGTGTGTGAGTGAGCCAGTGTGCACCAGTGGATGCGAGTCTGTGCGTGCTGAGAGCAGGGGGGACCGTGTGAACTGGGACAAGTAGGAAGGGAAGATGTGTAGGAGCACCAGCAATAAAAACAGCTAGCATTTATTGAGCACTTGCTCTGAGCCCGATGCTGACATTTATGATCTTATTGAATTCTTTCCATACCCCACGAAGTCCGTGCTGTGATGACACTCATTTATAGATCAGGAAATAGGGGCTTTGAGCCGTTAAGTAACTTGCCCCTACTCTTAATCACTACGTGATACTGCCTCCTAATGAATGTGTGAGCAGGGGCCAAGTTGTGAGTAAAGAATGAGTGTCTGTATTTGTGGTAAGTGTGAGTTTGAGCGTGTGTGGGAGGCTGAGTGTGCCCGACGTCGGTCCCAGAGGGGAGTGCCGGCAGCAGCTGTGGACAGCGGGCGGGGCAGGGGCCCGAGCAGAGACTGAGTCAGCCTCCATGGCTTCTCTGCCAATCTGACTTCCCAGCCCCGCAGGGGCAGCCTGCGCCAGGGCCCCCAGCTAAGGGATCCTCCCAGCTCTGGTATGGCCCCCAGCAGGCCCCTGGCTCACACGGCGGGCTGGGCCAAGACTGGAGGCTGGCAAGAGGCCTGCATGGCCTCCAGGGTACCTGGGGGGCTGCCCGCAGTGTGCGCAACCCAGGCAGGCAGGGCATATGAGAAGTGTGGGAGGGGGTCCAGCAGTGATTTCAGGCCCCTGTGACTCTAAACAGAACCACCTGGAGGGTGTGTGTATGTATGCAGAACGGGGGCAGCCAATGGTTCCCATGCCCACCCCTGCCTTCGGGATGTGACTCAGGCAGATGCCATGCCAGGCATTTGCAAGCTGGGCCTCCTTCCACCCGGGGGGCGGGTGAGGAGGGGCCCCTCCAGCCCTGCCCCCACCGTCACCCTTGGACGTACTCCTCAGGACTTAAGCTGGAAGGAAGGAATTTTTGAGAGCTGGCTGTCTCCTGTGGCGGGATCTGGTCCCCGACTACCCAGAGAAAAAGGAAAGCTGCAGTCTCCAGCCTGGTCTCCAACCTCTCCAGATGCAGTACCACCCGGGCTGGAGAGCTTGGGCTTCTGGTCCTGGCCAGTTACCTCCGCACTCCAGGCTTCTGTGTCCTGACTGGCAAAAGAGAAATAATATACTAAAGGGACCCAAGGTGTGGCTGGTTAGAACAGCAAGTGTGGAGGGCAAGCAAGTAACGGAGATAGTGGTGGGAGCTGGGGCTAGAGAAGGTGTCAGGACGAACTGACATTGCGCTGAGCTTTGAGGAATGGGAGAATCTCCGGTGAGGACCCAGGGGAAGGGAAAAGGGTGTTCCAGGCAGAAGGGCAAAGGTTGACAGGTGGAGTGGGGGCTGGAGACCTAGCCCAGGACTCCGTGGGATGAGGTCATGGACAGCCTAGCTTCTCAGGCAGCCTCTCCTTTCTGAGGCCATATGGTGATCGGATCAACATCTGACTCCTCCACTAGCCTGTGCAGCAGGGACCTCATCTGTCTCTGTCGTCTGCCACTCTTGTTGGAGTGGCCCGGATGGTGCCTCATGCATTCAAGGTGTTCAATAAATATCTGTTAAATAAATGAGAAGCTTCTCCCCAAACGGGATGAACTATGGGGCAAGAGCTTGTTCAACAGCCCCTGCAAGAGCCTCCCAGAGGCTATAAAACAGTGGTTTGCCAAGTGTGGTCCCAGGTGCATCACCTGGGAACTTGTTAGAAATGCAAAGTCTTGAGCCCCAACCCAGACTTACTGGGCTGGGGCCCAGCAACGTTTGAATAAGCTCTCCAGGTTGATTCTGTTACACGTTAAACTTTGAGAACCGAGGCTCTAAAACGATGTCCACAGGTCCCCTAAAAGCCCACGAAGAACCCATATGCAGATGGAGAAGCTACAACTGTGGCCAAGTGTGGCCCCAAACTCAGATATTCTTGATCCCTTCCCTTTCCCCAGCCCAGGCCAGGGCACAAAGGAGAGCTCGATCATCCGCCCTATCAGGTTTGGAAGATTGGAAACCGGGGGTCTAGGATCAGGGGGCGGGGCACTCCCCCCTCGGGAGCAGAAGGCGGGGCCAAGTGCTCTGAGCCCCGCCCCTTCCCCGTTGCCCCGGGAAACCCCGGGTTGTAACAATAACCCGCTGACGCGCTTCTGGGAGGGATCCTGCCGAGCTCGTGGGCGGGACAGCTCGGCTTGCGGACCAATGAGGGAGCTCGGGCCCCGCCCCCGCGCCCCCTCCCCCAGCGCCGAGCAGGGGGGCGGGGTCGCTCCCGCTTCTCCTCCCCTGCTCCGTAGGCGGCGCTGTTGCGTGCGGGGGCTGCGGCGGGGTCGCCCCGAGCCGGGAGCCCCGCGCCCCAACCCCCAGCCCGCGGGCGGGGCACCCGGGCAGGCGGAGGATTCCGTGGCCGCGGGCGGGCACGTCCCGCCCTCTCCCGCGCCGGGCCCGCCCCCTCCCCTTCCCCCGCCCATCCCGAGGTGCAGCCGGCGCTGAGCGCGGCAGGCGCGGGAGCTGGCGCTGGAGCCGGAGCGGCGGCGGCGGCGGCGTTCACGGGGCGGCGGCGGCGGCGGCGGCGCGGGCTCCGGCACGGGCTCCGGCATGGTGCAATCCGGCCTCGTCCCGAGAGAGCGGGGCCCGCGCGCGGGGCCGGCGCCGGGGGAGCGGCGGCAGCGACGGTGGCGGTGGTGGCTGCAGGCTCAAGCAGGCGGCAGGTGCTAGAAGCGGAGCTGGGCGAGGTGTGTGCCCGCTGGGCTCCGGGGCCGCCGCTCCCTCGTTGCCCCCATCTTTCCCTCCCTTCGGGATTCCCAGCGCGTCCAGCCCCCTGTCTCCGCGTCCCGGCCCATGGCGCCCCGCGGTTGAGCCGGCGCCGCCAGGGACCCCTCCCGCGGGCCTCCCCGGGGCGCGCAGATCCCGGAGCCGCCCGCCCACCCTCCGCGGAGTCTCCCTCCCCTCCTCGCCCGAGCCGGGCGGGACCATGGCTGCGAAGCTGCGAGCGCATCAGGTGGACGTGGACCCGGACTTCGCGCCGCAGAGCCGGCCGCGCTCGTGTACCTGGCCCCTGCCGCAGCCAGACTTGGCCGGCGACGAGGACGGAGCGCTGGGTTCAGGGGTGGCAGAGGGCGCCGAGGACTGCGGGCCGGAGCGCCGGGCGACGGCCCCGGCGATGGCCCCAGCGCCGCCACTGGGCGCGGAGGTCGGACCGCTGCGGAAAGCGAAGAGCTCCCGGCGGAACGCGTGGGGGAACCTGTCCTACGCCGACCTCATCACCAAAGCCATCGAGAGCGCCCCGGACAAGCGACTCACGCTCTCGCAGATCTACGACTGGATGGTCCGTTACGTGCCCTACTTCAAGGATAAAGGCGACAGCAACAGCTCGGCCGGCTGGAAGGTGGGAGCGTCCGGCTGGGGAGGGGAGCTGGGGTCGCCGGCTAGGGCTTCCAGGGGCTGCTAGGTGCGTCCGGGTTCCCGGGGAGCCGTCGGGAGGGAGGCCCTGGGGCACCCCTAGGGGTCACGGAGTGTGTGCCCGCGGAGTGGGGCCGGCCGGCAGACAGGCGGGGGCGTGCTGGGAGCAGCTGTGTGCGTGCTCTGGATGCAGGGTGGGAGGTCTGGTGAGGTGACAAGGGACTGCCACTTTGAGGCACCCCCGAGGGACACCCCCACCCTGTCCATGGCGGCATAGCAGAGGAACCCACTCCCAGGCCTCGGATATTAAGGGGCCCCTTCGTAGCCCCGGCGAGTTTGCTTTGTGTGTTACTCTTGTTTTACCTTCTCCACCGGGGCACCCTCCTTAAAGAGCTGAAATAATGGCCTGGGGCCAGTGCCTGCTTTCTCCCCACATCTTTCCCACTACCCTCCCTGGAGCTGGCCCCAGGGTAAGGAGTGCGACCCTGAGCTCACAGTTCTTCCTGTGGTGCCAAGAGTTCACCCTAGGGCACCAGCCAGCCTGGGGTGGGGAACTGGTCAGGTGACCTGGAATCTGAGTTCTCCATGGGGCAGCTGCTGTCCCCCCTTGCCTGGATCAGCATGGTGGGCTGGTGATGACCTCTGCTGGTGTGAGGGCAGGGTATTGAGGGCTGGGGAATCTCTCCCTTCCCACCCTAGGCTGTCTGGCTTCCACTTCCCTGGCTTTCAGAGCCCAGATGCATTTGAGGGTGAAGGGAGGGGCAGGGGCACCCTAGGGAGGCCTCAGTGCCATCCAGTGGAATGGGGGGAGCCATCTTGGGAGAGGACAAGGGCTTGACTGGATTGTGGCCTCCAGACCCTCCTCTGGCCATCTTGTTGGGGAATGGGCATAGTCGATGCCTTTGCAGAAGGAGGAGGTTGGGGGGTGGGGGCTGTGCCTAGGGCCTGTGAGCTGTTAGGCTTCCTATGGGTGAGGGGTCTCTGCAAGGGAGGTATGCCTAGATGGAGGGAGGGAGCCACGCCTGGTAGTGGCTGCAGACAGGGTCAGAGGAAGGAGGTGTGCCAGAGGAGGAGGGGAGGCTGGTGGACAGGAGTAGCTCTGGTTGCCCAGTGGCTGCATTGTAGGGGCCACAGTGCTCTGACCTGGGGCCCTTGGCTCTCAGGCTTCATGCTGGCATCATGTCTGTCTCTCTCTGGCCACTATGGGGTGGAGGCACAGGTTGGAGGAGCACCCATGAGTCTCCAGTCTCCTTGGGCTCAGCCCCCATGAGAACACTTACTCCTCCTAAGTGGGTACTGCCCTTGGGATCTGCTCCCACCTCCCTCCCTGTCCCCATGCACTGTCCCACCTTTCACTTCTCCCTGTAGATATATTTCTTGTCCTCAAGAGCACAGAGTTCAGATGCCTCTTCCAGGAAGCCTCCCCTGACCCTTTTTAGCTAGCTAAGGGCTCCCTCTTCCCTGGCCCTCTCCCTGACTGTCATAGGGCTCAGTCTTTTGTATCCTCTTTCATTTCCCCTCCCCACCCACCCATTAGAAGACAGTGGCGGCGGCAGAGCAATCTCTGTGCCCACAGCACCCAGCATAGAGCCTGGCACTGAGGAGCCAGTGGCATATGTCTGGTGAGAGTGTGAAGGAACGGGTGGCTGGTGCAGCGGATGCTGAGGCTGAGGAGGGTACTGTGGGCCAGAGTAAGCCAGGAGGGCTTCCTGCAGGAGGTGGAGCCCCACTTGAGCTTGAGGGATCAGGAATGGTGGGGGCAGAGGGCAAGAGGAGATGTGAGACCGGAAGCCGAGGGAGACCTGCAGTTCCTGAGGGTGTCAGGGCCAAGCCAAGGTGTCCAGGGGCTGCTAGGTGCTAGGTGTCAGCCACCTTCAGGCATCTGTGCCAGGTGTCTCCTTAACGCTCTCAGGAGTCCCTGAGGTAGGTTTCACTGCCACCGTTTACAGAGCTGGGCACTGAGGTGCAGAGTGGAGGCGTGAACTGCCCAAGGTCACACAGTCGGTAGATGAGAGAACTGGACTCCAATCCAGGTGTGTCTCCCTCCAAGCCCCCCCCCCCACCTCCCGAGCCTCCGGAATAGTGTCCTGCTGGCACTGGGTGTGGGAGGCGGGTACAGACAGCTTTTGAACAGGGGCAGGTCTAAATCCTAGAATGTGACTGGGAACGTGCTTGGAGATAATTTAGTCCCTGGACTTCATTTCTTGGACGGTGAGCCTGAGGCCCCGGAAGGGGATGGAACTCCTCAGGTTGTTGGTGAGTGGCAGGTGCTGGCCGGTGACCCAGGTCTCCTGCCCGCCCACTGGAAGTAGTGTCCACTGTACCACGCTGCTGGGGACACACTGGTTCTCCCTGCACCTGGCTCAGGGAGGAAGGCACGCTGGCAGGCTGGTCCTGGGCTGGGGCATGGGAGAGGGAGCCTGAGGCTTGGGCTCCTGACCCAGGGCCCTGGCAGAGACCACCCAGGCACTGGAGGAGGGCTGTTCAGAGGGGCCTCTGGCCTTTCCCATCTGGCTCGGTCAGTGGCTGTCCTCATTCTACCCCAGCCCCCATCCTTTTACCCCTCTCAAACCTGCCTCTGCCCCCATTCCCATTCAGCGCCTCCAGGGAGCAGGTGGAGAGACCATCCCGAACTCCCAGCCAGCCTGTGTGTTAGCGGAGGCTGTGGGACACCTCAGGTGCCAGGGCTGGGGCCCATTGTTCCTCTTTCCCCCTCCCCCACCACATAAGTGTTGCACCTGAATCCCTGGGGTATACCAAACCCTGTGTTAGATGGAGGGTGGGGGACCAAAGGGGAAGGCATCAGGCCTGCCTTCAGGATGTATCAGGGCTCCACACCCAGGCAGGAAGGGCCAGAGGTGGGGGGCAGGGGTACAGGGAAGGCGGGTTAGACCCCCTGGGAGCCCAGGCAAACCCACACAGAGAAGATGGCACTTGATCTGGGCTGTCTTCTTTGGGGGGTAGAATTTGGGAGAAAGTTTCTCAAGGGATGTTGACTGCAGATGCAAAGGCAAGGAGGTAGAACTGTAGGAGAGGAAAGGGTTGGGCGGGCCAGGCTGGAACCAGTGGCTCCTAGGGATGGCAGGGAGGCGGCATGGGAAAGGCAGAGTGGGCCAGATCAGGAAGGGCTCATGTGCTTGGCTTTTGCCCTGTGGTCCCACCTGTGATGGGGGGAGGTAGTCAAAGGTGCTGCGGATGGGAACAGGAGGACAAATCAGCAGCAGGTGCAGGACCCCCAACAGGCTGAAGCCTGCAGAGAGGCTGGCCTTGGTGCTGGAAACTCCACCAAAGAGGCTGGTAGTGTTTCTCTCAGGACAGAGGGTCTCCAGGCCCTGGATGAGGGTTTGGACAGGAGGTTCCCCTCCCTCTTCAGTGTCCTAAAAGTGTGGATGTCAGACAGCCAGGTAGAGCCTCCCACTTCCTCCCAGATGCTCCAGCCCCACCTTCCCTAGCACTGGACTCCTCCAGGAAGGCTTCCAGACTGCTCTGGGTCCTGGGTGCCCCTTCCACTCAGCGCCCCTGGAGTTGTTCAGCCTGCTTTTGTGTTTCCTGGCTGCCAGCTCCCCTGGGAGCTCCCAGGCCAGGCCTGGGCACCTCCCATTCCTGTCCCCAGGCTTGATGGGGGAGGAGCACAGTGGATGGGGACTTCCCTTCTCCCTCAGGGCCTGGAGCGGCCCTGCGGTTGGGGGATGGGATCAGGAGGGGTGGTGCTACCCCCATCTGGCCCCTGCTGGCCAGTAGGTCTTAGGTGGGGTGGAAGGAGGGACTGATCCAGAGGCCAAGAGGAGGGTCCTGTTACAGCCAGGCTGAGCGGTGGCTGTGAGTGCAGAGGGCTCCCCCTTCTTTCCCCCCTCCAGCTTGCTCCAGCAGGGCTCCCTCCTCCTTCTTTGTCCTCCGGGGATCCCCAGCCCCAAGGGCTGGTGGGGGTGCGGGAGGAGGCGGTGTGAGCCCCGGTTGGGGGGTGTCCTCACCCCCCGCCGTGCACGAGCGGGGGGCTGGCAGCTGCCCGCCTCCTGGGCACGAGCCCGCGCCAGCCGCTCCTGGCACAGTTGCTGGCACGCCCGGCAGACTCCCACGGCCACCTGCTCACACCCACCCACGAGCGCTGGCGCTGCGGGCCCTTCCGGCTTCCCGGGCCTCCCGGCGCCCCTCCCCCGCCGCCCTGCTCCAGAGCCCGCCCCCGCCCCCCACATACGCAGGCCCCCTCGCTCCCGCCAGCCAGCCCCAGGCCCGGCCCCCTCCCTGCGCAACTTGGGGAGCTCCCGAGTCTGGGTGCTCCTGAGAGGCCCCTGGGGTAGCTGCGGGGAAAAGGAGGGATGGGGAGGCAGGCAGGCAGACAGACAGACGGACAGACAGGGTGAGGGCCCCGCCTGCCACCTGGCGCCGCTCCAGCGGGACGATGGCGGGCAGCGCCGTGCCAGGCGGTAATTGCAGACAGACTAATTTAAAGAGATGAGACGGTTATTTTTAACTCATGTTAAGGTAATGAACGGCGCGGGGGGTTTGCGGGTTCGAAAGTTCAGCGCCCCCAACCCCCACTTTCTGTGGGTTGGGGCCCCCCCTCTCTGCACACCCAGAGGACTCCAGCTTCAGGACTGACTGGAGTTGGGGGCCTGTGCCAGGGACCGGGAGGGCTGATAGGGCCTGGAAAGAGGCGCCCCCTAGCCCGGTGCAGATCCGTTTGCATCCTGGCCACTTTGTTTCCAGGGAGTGTATTAACAGCCCAGTTTCCAGGGTGGAGAAGTGACTTGCTCTGGGGTCACATCCTTAGAAAGTGTCTGTCCGGGGAATTGAACCCCTTTCTGACCCCAAAACTCAAACTTTTTCTGTGCCATTGGGGCTGGAGAAGAGGGCTTGTGTTTGGGTTTTGAAAGGGTGCAGTCTTGTTCCTTGCAATCCAGGGTCTTGTCTTCGAGGGGCAGCTGGTGGTGGCCCCCATACAGGGTCTTGGGGGCTGTGGAAGTCCCTCTGTCTGGGTCTTGTGAG